TAGCAAGCAAAATCAACAAATATTAAACCGTTACCTTTCTACAAGCTCTCTTTTTCTTCCACTTATTTTTGCTCCTCTTCTTCGACATTCTTCTTTAAGTTGAACTAAATTCATTTTCCCGAACCTGACTTTCTCCATCTTTCGTGTTATCGCTTTAAGAAAATATAAATGGACGCTCTACGCGTCGCTTGATTGCTAACCTAATTCTATTTCGCGCCACCTACCGGCGCTTTCTGAGAAATACGGCCCATTACCTCATCACTAGTCAACAACCTATGTGTTATTTTCCGTGCTGAGCTTTTTTTCCGCTTTTGGCAAGACTGGTTTATCAAAAACTTGATAATTCCCCCAACCATCTCTCATTTGTTTCCAGCACAGTTTCCACCATTCTGTTTTCACTTCCACTTGCTGTTTGGTCAACGGCTTCCTCTTCGATACCACTTATGTCCATGGCAAGCTTTAAGATGTCCGAAAAGTTTTCGCTAGCACCCGTAGCACGTATTTCGTCTATACTTTCATTTTGGTCCTAGGAGGTGACCACCATGGGTCAGTGTTGAGGACATCCGCGTCGACCACTGTTGCTTCAGCAGCAGATGGAGCATATGCTTGCTCGAACATGGCCATATCTTGAGAGACAGAAGCAATAGGTTGATTTTGATCGCTTGCCACTAGTGTTGGAGGTGCTTGCCGGTCAAATACCTCACTTGGCAATGTGTCACTTCTTGTGACAACCGTTGGATCAGATTCCGGTAGCCTGAAAAGCTTTTTTGATGGTGCTTGGTCAAAAGGCTTTGCTCCATGCTGCAGTGAAACGTTTAGTCCATGTGACTTTACTGATCACATTTCCCGGGTGCTCAGAAAGAAATTCGGTGCATGCTGCCCCATATTTTTTAAACGGCCCTAAGAGACATTTGTCCAACGGTTGCAACTTGTGTGTTGTATGGGGTGGTAAGGCAAATATGTGGATATTTTCTTTCCTTGCTGTTTCAACAGATCCACCACCTCATGGGAGCCTTGTGAATCCAACAGGAGAAGCTGGGGGCGATCTGGGCCACAATGTTTTAGACTTCTTTAAACCATTGGACTCCCAAAAGATCTTCATCCACCCAGACTCCTGATAAGTCTCGACAGCTCCCTTTGGCGACAGCTCCCTTTGGCGCATCACAGATGTTGAATGAAGAAACTGCTCGCTGGGTTTTGCCCTTCACTATTATCATGGGGGGCATTGACTCGCCAGCTGCATTAATGGTGGCAAATATGGTTATGTTTTCACGAGACCCTGTCACACATGCTGACACCCCTCTTACTCAAAGTTACTCTCTTCTGGGCAACTACTTTTGTTGGCTTGTGCTGTAACTGTACTCCAGTCTCGTCACAATTCCAAATGCATTTAGACCGCGATGTATTATTTACTTAACTCATTCTATTGAAAAAGAAAAGAATAGATAAAAAAACTAGACACTAAACAAAACAGACTTTATCGTGACAAAACAATATACACAAAACAATGTACACAAAACATTACGTTCGACTATTTGATGGTGTTGCACAGACTTATGTCTAGGATGGTCCAGGCTCTGACACACAGACACCTCCCTTCGTATAAAAGTAAAATATAAAAACAAATTTCTTCATGCATGAGGTGCGCCACGCGCCCACACAGAAAGTGACCCTCGGGTCAAAAGAAAAAAATAATCCGAGCAGTCAGTTTTTATACTGACCGCTTCGGGCGGAAGGGGAAACTCCATAGCCGCTGTCCAGTGGACCATTCACGCAGATTCGCACCCAATAAAATAATACAAAATAAATCATCCGTTCACCCGTTCACATTCACCCGTTTTAAAACTTAGTCCCTTAAGCCATTCAAATAAAAATATTAAAAAAAAATCAGGGAGTAACAAAACTAATACAGCATGACACAGTTACAAATACAGCACTCTGCGTCGGTCAACTAAGGACCGCGATACGCAGTGTCCCAATATTTTCTCCATTTCGTACCATCAACTGAGAGCAGATTAGATAACTTTGTCCGGGGTGGCCATTCACGCACAGATTCGCACACAATAAAATACAAAATAAATCATCCATTCACCCACACATTTAAAAATACAATTTTCTTTTACCGTTAACATGGGGGTACGAATATATTCTTTTACTGTTAACACTGTGGTTCCTGTTTTCTGGGTATTACATGCTTGTCTCACAATGTCAGCAGCCTTTTCAAAAACACCATTCAAAGTTCTTAGCAAATTTTGTGAAGTGAGTTAGGCAGATTAACTTCTTCACAAAAGGTGTTACAGTTATGCTTACATTCCTACCCGCTTACATTCCTACCCCTCTCTCTCTGTAACCACTCCACCCCACCACCGTCTAGGAGGAGCACTAATTCTGCTAAAACATCCTTTGGGATAAAAATATTCAAATTAATAAAACTCTTTCAGGTTAACATAACACAATGAAATACTGAACAAAGCATTAGTTAAAACAAATAAATGCAGAGGCGCCATTATACCGGACTACTTGATTTAAAAAAAACGACTAGGAACTAAATAGTACATTCCTTTTTATTTAATTTCAGCAACTCACATTTGTAAAATAAAAAAAAATTGTAGGTGGAGTTGACAGAATTGTGTTTGTTATGAACTTTACCACTTTTCCAGTAGTAACTAAAATGTATTTTATTTTATTTTCCATTATTGCCACATTGAGAGACAGCAAGCTCCCTGGACAAGACTAATGATTGTACACAGCTACTTCATGCCCCCAGTGTAAGTAGATCATATTTGCAGTTCTGTATTTCTATTTTGGCCTTGTGTTGTATAGTTGCATTATAAAGTATGTTTTTACTCAGGGGTATATATTTGAGTGAGAAGAATGGATTGGAAGATTTCAATTTTAATATTGATCTTGAGTATGATTTTTAAAAATAAATAGTACATACATATTAAGAAAGTTCACATATCATCCACAGGTTCCTAATGAAGTTTAAAAGTTACAGTAATGAACACTGGTCAAGAAGAGCCTAATGTCAAATGCATAGATATTTTATTCAGCTGAATAATTGTCTATTAGTATTCTGAATAAATTTTAAAATATAATCTACAAACCTATTTGTTTGTTTTTAAAAAGGCTTTTGTTACATTCACTATGTAAATCTGTTATCTTCCCATTATTGGTTGAGATTGGCATAGTAGAAGTTCTTGGACAACATAACTTAAACTAAATAGGAGCAAATAACTGAGAAATGACAAGATTCTGGTTAAAATGTTTTAATTTTGTTGTGTTTAGGAATACAATAAAAACCTTTTTCTTCAAAATAATTATTTTATTTATATACTAAATCAAGATTGCACATGCTCACCTTTATCTTAATTGTATATGGTTTGCAAGACAAGCCTACTCTGTCACTAAAGCAAAGATGTCTGGCCACACACAACTGTTGTAATTGAGACTTCATTTTTCTAATCTGACACTGAATAGGGGTACCTAGGTTGTTTCAAGACACTGCTTATTTACTTAGACAGCCAGAGCTGTTGCCGTAAATGATAAATTTAATTTCATTCAGTGTTTAGTTTTGTTTTAAAAATATACTCATAAAAGGAATAGCTGAACTAAAATAATATTTGAAAAACAAGCAACATGGTCTTTGATAATTAGCATCACAATCCTTTATTATGTATGTTGTAGTTATGTGCCTTGTTTATTAAGTGTTAACTGTGTACCTGTGAGACAGTTAACTACAGAAAGACCCAGAGACAAAACATCTAAGCTGTTTATAAAGTACCATGGTTAACTGTTTAAGTAATGTAACATGATGGTAGCTATTTGAATACATTACTAGCTAATGAGTGATAGCCGTGAAGGCTAGATAGCTGCTGACAAGGAAAATCTGGTCAAGATGACTAAAAGATTACAGGTTCAGAAATTGTGGCAAAGTAAATATTTTGGCCTTAAGGTGTGTGATGAAGCTACTTACTGAGAAAGATAAAAGTTTTGGTCTTTTGTCATCTGAAGAGAAGAGTTTGTTGGCTGTCAATGATGATAAGTTACAGATATTGAAGCAGTGATGGTCATTTAGCGAAATAGTGTGGTTCAGCGTTGAATTTGGGGCAACTGTGAATATATTACCAAGCAAGTATATACAGGTGAAAGTAAGCTAACATTATATAATGGAAACACAATTCAGCCGAAATGAAAGGCTGATGGTAAAATACCTGTGACGAGAAAAGAAGTACATGGTCGATTTTGTGATTATGAACCAGAGACATCTAGCTCCCATTTTAGGAAGAAAAACATCTGAGAAAATGGGATTGATCACTGTGAATTAAGATAATTTCAAATGTTAAGTACATTGTAGTTATGTCCCTTGTTTACTCAGTGTTTACCCTGTTGCTGATGTGTACTTGTAAAGCAGTTAACTACAGAGACAAGACTTATCATCTAATACAGCATCAAGGTTAACTCACAGAACAGAGTTTAATTAATGTAGCAGTTTCCACCATTGTATTCTAACTAAACCATTTCTCATGTTTGTGTGATCTGTTACATCTCAGCACTGTACTACAAGATAAATTAGCATAGTGTAGTGATGTAATGTGTATGAAAAGAGTATTCGTGGGACGGATCACTGCATGTATGTGTATATATACTGTAGCAATCCGCGAGGCAGGGTGTGTTGACGTGTCTGTTGTAGGGGGGTATAAGGAACGCGACTGGTTGAGTGACTGGTTGTGTTGTTAGCGAGAGAAAGGAGTTGTTGAGGAATTAATGTGTAGGGTAGTTGAAGGTAGGGGTGAAAGAAAGGTTGGTATGTAACTGGGAAGGCAATTGAGGAAAAATAAAAGATACTGTTGTACCTAGCCTTAACGCATTGTTAGTGTATAAGAGATTGCTGATACTCTCACTGTGAGTTCTGGACAAGGTTGATGCTGGAAGTCGACAAACAATGAACAACGTACAACGATCCAATACAATTACAAAACAGGACAGCGTTCTTCATTTTTCATCTTTAATTACATATAATATACACGACAACAACATGACGAAGACTTACACACCCTCATATGACAAGACCAAGACTTAGAATTTCCACTCCTTTCCCTAACAACCAAAACATACTCTCACACGTCACATCCTTACTTGCATCATCACATTTAACATCTGTTATTAATATATCACATTCCACTACACACACTCTCATTCAATAACTAAAATACCTTTCAGAACACTCACACTAAGAAAGGTTTGTATCTTAGTGATAGTGGCACACCATTGCCAAAACTCAGTTAACAGTTATAACACAGAGCCAAAAGATTAGAAATACTAGACATATAAATGTTGGTCAAAATAGAAAACTGCCATGCAAAAAAAAGGTCTGTTGATTTATATTCCAAACGTAGGAGTTTTTCTTCAAGTACTTTACACTTTTGCAGTACCAGTGTATGTTGTGGGTACAGAAGGTCAACCTATTACAGTGCAGTAGGCAGGTGGCACAGGTAAACTAGCCAACAAACACTTGATGTGGAAGGCTAGTGTTTGAGTCTCATTTTGTTGGTTTAGCTTGTTTGGCTGCATACTGAAAAAAAAAATATAAATTATTTCAACTCTGGCAATTATGTACAAGTTTCAACAAGCACTATGACTATATCTTACCACATGGTACTGTAAATAGTAAGAGTACTAGTATTAGTTTATGAAATAATTTTTTGGTAGCACAGATTATGAGGGTGTTAAAAATTCTTATCAATTGAGGGTTGAAACCATTTAAGGTTTCAGCATTAACTCTAATGAAAAATGTTGGTTATTTTTTAAAATAGATACTTGTTCAAATCTTTTTATCCCTCCTTTTAAAAAAAAGAAAAATAGGCATACACAACACTGCAGACACCCTTGTTTACCTACAACTCTATGCTAATAAGTGGGTTAATCTATAAGAAACGATTTGGATGACATTTTTTTTTAACTGTTCAGGCTTAGGTTTGCAAACTTACTTTTTGAATGACCCATTCAGCATCTTCAATAGCTCGCTCAATGATTTGTTGAATTCTCTCCTTATCTGTTTCATCTGAATGACTTTTAAAACCCTGGTTAAACAGTAACAGAGATCATAGATAAAATTTGTTAAGTTTCTGATATAGGTATGGCAATTTATAGAATGCATGACCATATTTAGTACAAAAGCAATATAGCTATCAAATTACTAAATTAGTGGCATATTATCAGTGATGTAACAATAATAAAACTAAAAAGCCATAACTATTTAACTAATGTTTTTATTAAAAGATTCTGCTGGGGTACAAGCTACTAAACCAGTTATGAAGTTTTACGTCTGCTGTTGTCTCCGCATCACTTCTACATCATAGTGTAATCAACTACAAATGTAACCATTACAATGCCTACCTGCTTGATGTTATGTTTGTAATATGGCTGAGCATCAGCAGGTAATTTTCTCACACATCTAAGGAGGTGCCTGTACAGGTGAATTGGACTTTTCACAGCAGCCATAGTATACTAGTAGTTCTGCTTGACACAAATCCTTCACAAATTAATAAGCTGGGGATGATAAAATAAAAATTACTTCAATTCTAATCAAGAAAATTCTTTCTTATGAAGTACATGGTTAGAAATTTATTTGTGGCCTATTAATAAAGCCCCTTTTACTTTGTTATAGTTATAGACCATATAGTATATATCTGCATAAAGTATGATAAAGAATGATATTTTATTAATTTTTTAAATGTACTAACTAGGCAATGAAATAAACAATGCTACAACTTCAAAAATGAATTACGCCCAATTCAAACTAAATTTATAAAATGCAAAAAAAAAACAACATTGCAAACACATGAAACCATAATAATAATATGATAACTAACAGTAACTAAATTAACTGTTAACTATTATTCAAGAAGGTTCAGTTGGCATGCTCCATTTGATTTGCACACCAGTGACTGTGCCAATTATTGTAATTATTACTAATTAAAGGTTTTTCTAGTCATCTAAACGTTCATAGTTTATTACCATTTAGATCTAGATTCTATTTGAGTACAGATCTAGATTCTAGCTTACATCAGATTGCTTAGTTATTATTTTGACCGTGTTTGTCCTTTTACTTTGAAGTTTATAATAAAGAGTTAAGAGTTATTGTCCTTGATATTTGTTCTGACTTTAGTTTCGCTTCTTAAAGAATGTTTTTATCACTATTCACTAGGCATATTAATAAGTGTAATTAGCCTTACACATTTTAATGTTAATTATTTCAATATGTTTCAAATTCTAAAATGGAGCAAATGATATTACATTTACAATGAGCCTGTAGGCTGTCTGAAAATAAATGTCGAAACTGCGGGATAAACCGTACGGCTAAACCGGAATCAAAACATTTCGTAGTCCAGTTAATGTTGATGAAATAAAAACAACACGTGTGGTGGAACAAACTGTTAAGCTACTTCATCAACCATTACGTCATATAGTCTTAACTTCTTTTATTAGTATAAGAACGTGTACTGAACTTACTTGCCAGCTTAACTAGCTTTGTCACAAAATAATTTTAGATCAGATCTATTATGGCGTTAGATCAGACAACGAAGCAGCATCTGGAAAAAGAATTGTTACCCTATTTGAACCCAAAAGCACGAGCCGATGTCAAGTCCATCGCAATAAGGTATTTTTTAGAAATGACCGGCTCAAAAGAAGGAAGAAATTTCATTGGCGAAGGAAATGTGTTTTTACCTGCTATTATATCTTTAACAACAGACTCACAACAGGATGCTGCAAAGGATGCTTTTTTAACATTAATAAATCTAACAGCGGAGGATAAAATTTCTTGGAAATTAATGAACACCAACAGTACATCCAGCTTTATCCTTGATACATTGCATAATATTTTAAAACCAGATTTCATTTATGCAGACGAGGCTTCCAGCATTATTTCAAATGTAACAAGAATGCCTGCATGTGCTAAACGCCTAGCAGAGCAAATTTTGGCAGAAAATTCTCAAGTAACTATGGAAAAGATAGTTCATGTTTTATGTCAAGTAAATTTCAATAAAAACGCTAATTTACATTACTTGGGACTTATATTGTCAAATCTTACTCAAGTTTCAGAAATAAGAAAAATAATTATGGATAAAAATAGGTGTATTATACAGAAACTTTTACCATTTATTGACTTTGCTGGATCAAAAACTCGTAGAGGAGGAATAATTGGAACTTTAAAGAACTGTTGTTTTGAATATGGTAAGCATTAGTTTAAAACTTAATTTCTAAAAATAAAGAGTAATGATGACTATTTAATCTATGTAAGAAGCCTGCTTTATTTTTAAAGCCATTATTACTGCCATAACGGGGAATGTGTTAACATAATTAACAAACTAGATAGATATAGTAAAAGAAATATTTAACAGTTCAATTGCCATTGCCTTTTTAAAAAACAACCATTCATCTTTTTTTTTGTTTTCTTATCAAAAGATCATCACCAGTGGTTGCTTAGTGATGATGTAGACATCTTATCAAGGCTGCTACTCCCTTTATCTGGGGGAGAAGAATTTGATGAAGATGATATGGATAAATTACCAGTTGATCTTCAGTACCTTCCCCCAGATAAAAAAAGAGAAGAAGATCCTGACCTGAGAACTATGCTGCTGGAGGCAATCTTTCAAGTTAGTTAGCACTTAATGTTTTTTAATTTGATTTACTAAGCTGACTACTAACCCCAAAGTCTCAGGTTAAATCCAGGAATTGACTGTAAAACATCCGAGTCTTCTTCGTTCTGATGTCTCCCTGACTAATTTTAATGAAAATTGAGGAAGGTGGACATAGCACTGACCACGCAATCCCTTTATAATTAAAATAGATATTCTTGTCTTGGGCACTGACAGGAGATTATATTTACTAAATATAGATCACACAAATATCTCTGTGTTAACCATTTGAAAAATAGGGCACTCCCTCCCAGCAAATTGTAAACATCAGTGACCTAAAACCATACAGTATATTAGTTATTTCTGTAAACGTGCCATAACCATGCACTATACAGTTTACTTTGTCATGAATCTTCTGAACGAGAAGGTTAACGCATAAAAGTTAAAGAGGGTGATATATGGTGATTAAGATAATATGGTATATATTTAGACAACTGGTGTCATTTGTTTGTATGAGTGGTAGTTACATGTAAATTGATAAAAAATACAAATGCAATAATGAGAGTAACACTCCTATATCTGTAAAGAAGTATACACATCTAAGGGACATAACACTTCAAATTAGCTGCATTTAAAATGGATTTTAGATTATTTTTCCATTAGTTTATTAATACTATATAGTTCAATAGAGCATCTACAACACTGTTTGAATGATCATATAGTTTTTTATATTTCTTTCAAATAGTTTCTTTTATTCTTTCTACCTTGCACAAAGCTTATTTGCCTTTATTTTCCCAGTTGTGTGCCACAAAGCAAGCAAGGTTATATATAAAGGAAAAAAATGCTTATGTTATTTTGAGAGAACTTCACAAATGGGAGAGGGACCCCAAAGCAAAACTGGCTTGTCAGAAATTATGTGAGCTACTGATATCAGATGAGCCAGATGAGGGCATGGAAGAGCTTCATGCAGTAGATGTCCCAGAAGATCTTCAGCAGAAGTTTGAGCAACTGGACAAGGAGCTATTGGATGACTTTTCAGCTGAGGAAAGGGAAACTTCATCTCATGCTGGGGAGAATCCACCCATACAAGACACTAATGATAAACACTGAATTGTACTTTTGTTGATAGTTTCAAAGATTGAATATATGCCAAAACATTTTTTTAAAATATGAGGTTGTAATTTATGGATGTAACTGGTAGATCAATTTTAAAAATTTGAAACTTTTGTTTTATTTGTATAAAGTGAATAAATTCATTGTAAAAGAAAAAAATGCAAGCTTTATTTACATATTTATTTGAACAAAATTTACACATAATAGAATCACTAATATTTATACAAAACTTACAAATGTATCTACTCATTCACACAAGCTAAGCTTCTAAAAAGCAGCCTTCAATAGGATTGGGGGGAGGGGGGGGGGATGACATCAACTACTGTTTCTTAACTCCATTTTCCTGTCAAGAACAACTTGAGAAAGGCCAATCTCCTTTAGTTGGCCCTAAGTATTGTGTTTATATGTAAACAGTTTGGCTGTGCTGATGCCAGAAAACTTCATTTTCAGAATGTCAGAACACAGTATTCGTTTTTTCATCATGGCATAATTATGCTATACTTTTTAAAACAACTTCATGCTGAATCTGTATGCCATACTGATACACCATTACCAGACTGCAATAAACAAGGGCTATGTTATGCTGCATTGTCTGGTCCATTAGTTGCTGTTGGCTCAGGGCTGTGTTTCTAAATCAAAGACAAGAAATACATTAAGAATAATAGTAGCTCTAGCATTTTATTTTAAGTGACATTTTTATTTAAGCTTCTGTATTAAAATTCTTACCTAAATTTGTGTTTAACTTTGGTAATAAAAAAAACCATCACTTTTAAAAGACAATAGCCAATGTGTGAAACAATATGACTATGCTGATCCATTGTTTACTGAATTGTTAGAAGAAAAAAGTTACCTTTTTCTTCTTCTTGTCTTTCTTCCTCTTTTTCTTGGAGTCCTTTTGATCATCCTCCTTTTTGGGCCTTTTTGTTTTCTTAGCTTCAGGCTCTCCTGTTCCACTATCTGCTGTGGAGAAATTTAAGACTGCCACGAAACCGTTGGAATTTAAAAACTGATTAGCAAATAAAAAGTTAAAGCATGTTTCATTTAGTATTTGACTGTTTTCTATGGCAATTAATATAATTTTTACAAGATTTCCAAAGTAGCATTGTGGTAATGGAGGTTGAGTATACCAGTGATAACTAAATTGTCCCAAGCTCAGTTACCTGCCTTGAAACAATAGAACTCTCATTGGTTATCTAACTTTGATGGGTAGTTGGAAAAGGTAAAGCTGCTAGGTGTGATATGGACCACACAATGTATATTCAGGGGTGCCAAATTTTAAAGTGAATGCTGAAAATCATTCCCCAAATTTTATAAATCCTGAAACCCAAATTTGAAAACCCTGAAACTTAATGGCACATGCAAGTTTTCTAAGGTAATATGGAAATGAGTTGAAATATCTTACATATTTTTTTACACTATTGTATAAAAAAAAAGATATTTAACAATTATAGTGTGAAGTCAGCCTACTGTTAAATAGCAAACATTTTGCTAACCTCGATGTCTTGTTATTTAAAAGTAAGCTTACTATACGCACAACCCCTAATAAAATTTATCACGGAATGACATACAAGAAAGCCTACTGCAGTAGTACAGGGTTTTAAATTATTAACAGCGACATCACAAATCTAAAAACCCTATTTTCTCCTAATTTACAGGAGTTATCCTCCTTCCCATTGAGATATGTAACGACATAAAAGAAATATTGTGGAAGTTCATAGAGCAGAATTTCGTGTGTTTAACTAAAAAAATTTAGTTTCTATTAGGTCCAAAGCACATTTGAGATAGTGGGTGACACATTTAGCTGTTACATTTCTCAATTTTGCCGATTTTAAAATTTTCTAACTTACTAACAAAGTTAATAGTTACAATCTACTAGTTGTCCTTATAATATGAGCGAGATCTGAATACTAAACAAGATTACAAGATTGTTTTATGGAGATTCCAAGTATTATTTTATAAATTTTATATAGATCTACTACTAGACTACAATGTAAGTTCAAGGCAAGTTCACATAGGCCAAGAAAAAAAAAATCACAGGTTGCAGTGACTGTGATGTTGGGTAGACAAAGGCCAGTAATGGTCAGGGATGCATTAATAAATATTAGTTAAGTCCAGCAAAATGGTTTTCTGCTAAAAATGACTGCCTATTGAATAAAAACTACTGCATTCGAACTTTTTAATTTTATAGCAATCAGTACCAAGTTTCAGTGTCAGCTAACAAACCAAAAGAAGCGTTAAAATAAAAGATGTCACACTACTGTTTGCACGGCAAGTGGATATACATACAATCTCGGCAAATGGAGGGAAGGGCCATAAGCGTTAAAAATACTCTGGAGTAATAAAAACAATTTCTAGAAAGTGAAATTTATCAAATTTAAACGGCTTGATTATTTTAAAAACTGCAAACCAACAAATTTTAAAACTCAAACTTTGCAAATCCAGAAAGTGAAAAAATATTATTCTTGATTCCAGGTATGTCCCAGAAAAGTGGCACCCCTGCATAGTTAAATCAAACACTTGATGTAAAAATATTTTTTTAACAAGCAAATATGAATCCAAACTTTCTAACAAAGGAAATTTAAAAGCATATAAATAAAAAAAACTTTAGTCAAAATAGACAATAAATCTGGTGCTTTAAATGCACTGAAAGTTATCAACCTAATTAGCTACAACCATGAAAACAATGGTAAACTAGGTAGTAATTGGAGAAATTGAAGAAAAAACAACCAAAATGCTTAATCTTGAAAAGAACGAAAAAACTTCTAAATGTGCTAGGAAAAACAACAGCGGTAGACTTTACATATCATACTTTAATAAACAAAAGTTTTTAAAATCATGTAAGTGACCTAATATATTTATATAAAAATGTCCTAAGATAAAAATTCAGGATCAAAGCTTACTCTGGGCCAACTGTAGTGCACTCCCTTTCTCTGAATCTTTAACCTTCTTTTTATGTTTCTTTTTCTTTTGTGTCATAAGATTCATTATTTGATACTGTTCTGGAAGCTGAAAATTAAGAGGCATGCTACAACTTTAAATCATACAATTTTAATTAGACATTATAAAAATCTGTCTGCTTCAACTTCTTGGTGATTTTTTTAATGTAAACCAACATTTTTGATGACTTTTCACCAGTTATAATGTGCAAAATTTAATATCTGGCTCTATAAAAAAAAACTAAGGCATGTTGAGGAGGATTGATAGAGAATATGACTGCTAACCCAAAAGTTCTATTCAGGGCACAATTTTGTAGGACATTCTGGCTTGCATTAAGGAAAGTAATGGCGGCTGGGGGCAGTTCTGACAAAACCATCTTTTACCATGCTGAGTTCACGGAAACAGATGAGCACTATTTCACCTGTCCTATGCAACATCAGGTTTGAAAGGGTAATGTTTATTTTACTTTTTCTATGAAAACTGGAGGAGAGCTGTGTAGGCACTCACAAATATAAGTTCAAGTCAACGTAGTTATAGGCCTAATAGTTATTTTTAAATAAACTATTGCATTTACAGTCTAACAGTAATACTTGACATATATTGATCTTGTGCTGAAGATATTTTCAAATTATTTCAAATTGTATATAGAGAAGAAAAAATCAATCACATCTGTGGATGAAACTATTTAGCAGTGACTTACAGGTCCAGGGTGAAGCCTAAATCCAGAGAGGGCAGATCCTGACAACTGAGAAAGTTCTTTTCCAATAATTGGTGCTTTGTCAATGAGTGATCGAAGTGAACTAAAATAGAGTTAAGATTAAATAACATACTAATTAGCAAAAGGTTCTGTGTACAGAACAAAAAAAGATCCATGTATCTTTTTCAAAAGCCATAAATTAAAATTCAAAATCCTCTATTTACATAATAAGTATCTTGTATCATTCTGCATTGTATTTTTTAAAAAATATATACACATTGGCAATACCAGTGAAAAATGTTACAATAGTTACATGTTATAATGTCATACAAAACCAGTTCAGTAGACTACATATTTGCTTCAGCATAGAAGAAATCAAATAACTCAACACTTTAGCATCTCGTTGTTAATGTGATTAGTATTTACTAGCTATTATTAATGTGTAGGTATGGATAATCAATCAGTGCTGTCAGTACTTAACTAATAAGCGGACCAAGTGGTAAAAGTTTGTTAAAAGAGAATGAAAGTTCATGACTTTCCTTGGCTGTATACAAACCTGTTGTCTTGTAGACCAGGAGAATCTATATTTCCAGGTAAGTGTGGCAAAAAAGCACTCAATTCTTCTTTAACTTTTTTATTGAGAAATCTGTTGTATGAGTGTTCCAGGTTGTAATAATTAAGAAGGTTTGTGCTGCCTGTGATCTCAGCTTCATCTGAAAAAATATAATGTAATAGATTTTTAGTTGCCTAGAACTAATATTACTGAATCCGTAGGTTAATTTTAGCTAGGTATGTGACAAAATAGACTATAATTTAGAGCTATTTTACCAAAATCCCCTGACCATCAGGCATCAACCCAAAATAAATAACATTAAATTTTAGCCTAAAAATTTAGGTTTGCCAGGGCGAGTGATTCCAGAAGTCTAGGTCCTAGGTCTAGATGTGACTTATTAATGTAAAATTATTAAATTTAAACAAAACATTTTTGCACCATCAATTTTACACCTTTTTTTTTTTTAAAAAATAAAACTAAAATCATGAAAAATTAAAATGTAAGTTGCCACAATTCACCTGGAATATCTTTCACAAGATAAAAGGAGCCGGTATGAATGACAGAAGGTGTTTTGCCAGGAACTAGGCTTATGGTTGTTTTGAGTGTTCCTGATGAATCCTGTCTTGGGTAAGCCGGTGATCTGGAGCCTCTATCTCTCGGACTAGACCGGGGAGACGACTGCATAGGTTCAGGTCGCCGTATTAGTTCCGCCATTTTTTACTGGTCACTGACTAGGTGCTGAGTACTAAGCTTTATTCTTAATTATTCTAGGTCTATAAATATAATACGATAGCTGGATTGGAAATTCCTACAACATCATAAAATCTTTAATATATTACAACGTTTGCACAAACATGTGAAAAGTGATTTGATCTGCTAGTATTACAAATAATCATCTTATATGGAAATTGGGAATTCTTGTGTAAAAATTTCTTAAAACTTGACTTGTAGAGTGGCGCTATAACCCAGCGGCTAGCAGTTTAAAATCTCTAGTTTTTCTTCAGAAATTTCACAATCGAATGAAACGATTGAATATTATGAAACAACATATTACTTGTGCTATTATTTTAAAACAGTACTTTAGGTGTGCCTGGTGATGTGTTTCTAGGTTTTTTTTTCACAAATTGTGTGAGTTTTTTCACGTATCTCTCCCGCTGGGTACTACCCTCTTTCAACCCCTCCTCCCCCAGTCCGAACCCCCCCCCCCCTGCATAAAGTAAACCCCCTTGAACAAAATGTCTGAAAGGAACTCTGGAGTTTAATGCTTAAACACAAGTTTTTATAGTAGTCCACTGATAGTCCACTGCATCGCGATTTGCCTATGTTTGTTGGGGGAGAGATTTAGTGTTTCTTCCAGACTTTATTTATCCTGTGGGGGGAGGGGGCACTTGATATGATATGATATGATATTTGCGGGGGGTGCGGACTACATTTTCCGAGGGGGGGGGGACACACACTGGTCAAAGTATGTTTTCTATATAAATTCCATTTCGTTCGGAGCCCCCCTCCGAAGAAATGCCTGGAAGAAACTCTGGAGAGATCTTAGAAATATTACATAATGGGAAACATAAGACTTAGAGTGGTATCTCTGGAAAAGTTAAATAAAGCTCATTGCGCTATAGAGGTGAGACGGAGGGTCTTGTTTTCTGTGTAATATAGTAAGCTATGTGTACGATAGAACTCCTTGTGTGATATTTAGCTCTCGGTCTACTGTGGTGGTAGCACGTCCCTTGTGTGTGTGTCGCACTGTGTTCGATGCTATTGCTAAATAATTATTCTGAGTAAGATAGAACGTCCTGCTTTCCTGTTGCAAAAACGTGTGTGACGTTAAATAAGCTGAGGGGAGGGTATAGAACGTCTTGTTTTTTTTTTGTACTGTAAAAAAACGTGTACAATGTTATATGAGCTATTATATTAAAACGTATAGACCTATGAGAAATCTTTCTTTTCTATATTTTCTCCAGGAAGGGGGGGGGGGGGGCAACTTGATTTCATGGTGCATGGGTTGTGGACAGTGGTAAAGGATTTATTTTCTATATACATTTTATTTCCTTCAAGTGCGAGGGCCAAAGACGTGCTTTGTGCATTGGTAGTGTCGTCGCCCCGCCCCCCCCCCCCTCCCCCATGGAAAGAGATATGCATGAAAGAAACTACGATGCCTGCTGCAGTGGACATGCCTGTTGTATTGTTTTAAGCGTTTCTGTTGGCTCAGGTATAACTCAACTTTTAACGACGCTTGATGTTTATAAAATAGCTTTGAAAAACTGTTTAGTTTAGATCTGGATCGCGTTTGGTTGGATCAAATTTTCCCGGACATTGAGTTATATGCCACAAAGTGAAAAGGGGAAGTGATTCAAATTTTGGCGGAATCTGCATCTTTGACAGATTTGTTTCCCATCAAAGTCAATTCACTCCACATAATATATATATATATATATATATATATATATATATATATATATATATATATATATATATATATATATATATAATTACTTATAAATAGATTTTAACGCTTGGAAAGTATATTTAACTCAACAACTTAACATGTACAGCTAAACATATTGCAATTAGCAAGTTAAACAAAAACCAATAGGCCTACTTGTGTGTGTGTGTGGGGGGGGGGGGGGGTTGGGTCGTCCATAAATGACGTCACACTCGCAGGGGGGATGGGGGTCCGTAATTTTGTGACGGTGTGTGATGAGGGAGAGGGGGGGGGGGGGTCAGACGATTTGACGTCACTTTTTTGCATTATAAAAAAGCAATGTTAGTAAACGAGTTTTAGCCGATATTTAGGGATCGGCGTGGTCGAGTCGGTAAAGCTCATGGTTGCTAAACCGAACAGTCTCGAGTTCGAACCCCCGGGCAGATGAGGCTCGTTAGCTGGGGACAGCCACTCTTCTAGGAGAGACAACTCCAAAATTAAACAACTGCTGCCTTGTAGTTTGTTCTTGGTTGGACAAAGGCTATGGAAGAAAATCCAAAAAGAAAAGCAGGCTGAAATCGGAGTCAATGGCCTCAATGGCGCATAACCAGTTGACACGTAACGCTTAATTGTGTTGGAGGCGTGGTCGAGTCGGCAAAAAGCTCATGGTTGATAAATTTGAACAAAGTCTCGAGTTCAAACGCACTGGCAGATAATTCTCGATCCCCTTCAACACTAATAATTAAGAACGAAGAAGAAGAGCCGATATTTACCGTTTTTGAGAACGGTTTGAATAAATTGTAATAGGAATTGATCAAAATTCTCTATGTTGACAGAGTTATAACAAGATTTTGGAAAAATATCGATGTTTTAAGAATAATCATCAGCAATTTTGAGGGGGGGGGGGGGTTGTGAGGTGTGACGTCATTTTAGGGGGGGGGGGAGTCTGGCTTTTTGTGACGACGTGTGACGGAGGGGAGGGGGGAGGTAAAAATCGTCCAAAAAAGCGTGACGTCATTTATGGATGGCCCCCTTGGTTACAAACTAACACATAGAGCTAAACATAACATCTTCATATCCTTTGGTACTTGTGTCAATGTTTGCTTCACCTGTGGTATTATTTGGACCTCTGTACGGATAATAGATTACCGTTGTGTAAACAATTGGTCTTAATTACTGCGCTTTTTTTTACTACAACATAACCCAATTACGGCGTTATACAAAGGAACATTTACTGTTTAATTTCTAACTCAACAGCTATCATAATTTTTTTTTAAAATGTTCCATGCATTACCACCATTTCCACACATGCGCCTTGTGCAATTCAGTAGAAAGTAAATACTCCCCTTTACTCCCCCCCCCCCCCCCCCCCCGCTCCCCTACTAGAGAAGTTAAAGCCTTGGCTCAACTCGGCAATCAATTGTGTCTACGGTCGATTCCGGTAATTGGAAAACAACGAGGTAAAGGGCGGTAATAAAAAGATTACATAATCAAATGAGTCATACGCAGACTCAAGGCTGAGTGTAGTATATCTCTCAAAGCTTGGCTTTGATCAGGGTTCGCTAATTAAATGTTTATGAAATTTTTTGTATTGTAAGTCGATCCTCACTTTGATCGTCTGTTCGGGGATGTAATGAGGATGCACTGTGTTTTTATGTATGCATTTTGTTTTTGTTTGCTGTGTATGTGTGTTTTATATTTGTGTTCCGTGTTTGCTTAATTAGCCGTAGTGAATTTAAAGCACAGTCTCTCTTTCTCTTCCTATATATATATATATATATATATATATATATATATATATATATATATATATATATATATATATATATATATATACTTACATATTTATGTGTATGTGTATGTGTATGTGTATGTGTATGTGTATGTGTATGTGTATGTGTATGTGTATGTGTATGTGTATGTGTATGTGTATGTGTATGTGTATGTGTATGTGTATGTGTATGTGTATGTGTATGTGTATGTGTATGTGTATGTGTATGTGTATGTGTATGTGTATGTGTGCGTGTGCGTGTGCGTGTGCGTGTGCGTGTGCGTGTGCATGCGTATGCGCATGCGTATGCGTATGCGTATGCGTATGCGTTTGTGTTTGTGTATGTGTATGTATATGTATATGTATATGTATATATATATATATATATATATATATATATATATATATATATATATATATATATATATATATATATATATATATATATATATAGTTAAAAAGAATCGCAATGTAATTTCTAAGTACTATAAAATAAGATTGTTTGTGAAAGACTACTGAACCAATCCAAATGAGTCAAACTGCTGTGGTCTGTTAATAAGCTCATCAAACGATTAAATTCTGCCCAATATGGGTAAACCTACGGTCAAGTTACTCAAACAATTAAAGCAGCCATTTCTGAACTTGATATAAAGGTAATTATTGGTACCTGGTCGTTGTTGCCCGTGATCTTGATGACGGCGTCACCATTGACTGAGTCACTGATGAAGGGGTCACTGATGAAGGGGTCACTGATGAAGGGGTCACTGAGTCACTGATGACGGGGTGACCAGTGACTGAGTCCCTGATGACGGCGTCACCATTGACTGAGTCACTGAACACATCTGACGCCAGTCGGGTGGTGGGATGTGACTAAAGTATCAAGTTTTATGACTGCAACATGTTGTATGTATATTCCTAAAATCATCGGGAATAGATGGAACTACAACCAGTGCCCGGTCCCCATCCTCGGAAAACAAACCCCCCCCCCAAATCTCAGTTGCCTACCCCCCCCCCCCCCCCCTTTTAGGAAAATGTCTGAAAGAAACACTGGCTAGAGCAGTACCGATCCCCCCCATCCCCGTCCCCTCATTCGATGGATTAAAAGACATGATCTCCGCCTCATCTGCAGTTTGGACCTTCACATCAAAAATGTTCACACTTTTCTATGTAGAAGAGAAACGAAATTGTTGCCTTTAACTTTTACTTTTTTTCATATAGAAGAGAAACGAAATAGTTGCCTTTATACTTTTCTATGTAGAAGAGAAACGAAATTGTTGCCTTTAACTTTTACTTTTTTTCATATAGAAGAGAAACGAAATAGTTGCCTTTATACTTGTTCACATCAAAAATGTTTATACTTTTCTATGTAGAAGAGAAACGAAATTGTTACCTCTACACTTTTTTCATATAGAAGAGAAACGAAATAGTTGCCTTTATACTTGTTCACATCAAAAATGTTTATACTTTTCTATGTAGAAGAGAAACGAAATTGTTACCTCTACACTTTTTTCATATAGAAGAGAAACGAAATAGTTGCCTTTATACTTTTCTATGTAG